AAAAAAAACAAGTGTCTTTTTGTTCTTCCCTTGGAAAAAAGGCACCCACCCTGCCCTCCGTTCTCGTCTTCGTTCCTCTTTTTTTTCTTTCCCCTCCATCTCTCCTTCGCTTTCCCTTTGTCTTTAGCACAACTGACTTGGTTGCTAACTAATGCCAGTACAATGGAAGTGTATAACTTTGGATTAACTGTACAATTATTTGTAGATTTGTACAATTTTGACATCATTTTTAGGAACCACGCGAGTAGCAACAATTGCTACGAAAGAAATCGGAATTTAATGCCTGCTAGCACAAAAGCAGAAAAGCACTGTTGTAAAAAAGAAGGCATTAAAATGAAGAAAGTGGAATACTGGTTTCGGTGACCGAATTTTATTCCTATAAAAGCACCAATGGGAAGCACCCGGTATGAAGTGCCACCAGAAGCACTTTCAAAACTCCAATGTTTTCCTTCCTCCTAGTCTTGGCCTCCACAGTGACAACGTGCACTGCCAGCAAATCAGCAGGTAAGCTAATTCCAGGTGCTTCTTTAATGAGTAATTTGCGAAGCGCAAAGCTACGAAAGTCGAGCAGCTCTTAGAAAATTGTTTCGGATGCTAATGCGTGTCAAGGATCCGGAAAATGAGCTACCCCTAGTAGGCGCTGTCTGGGATCAAAAAAAAAAAAAACAGCGGGGTTCGTCAAATTCGCTTACTCGTAATTCAGGATAGATGGAAAACGATGTCGTTAGCTGCAGTGACCGAAATAATAAAGCAGATCAGAAAAGCTTTTTAAATGGTTAATAGTTTCAATAGGAGCACTTTTTTGCGAGAAGTATCAATAACAAAGCCAGTATTTGATTCCTTGTAAATTGCAGCCGAAAATTAACCCAACTAGCAAGGCACCTTTTCGGTGCAATCATGGGTTTTTGCACTGAATTGGAAGCGGCCAGACTATAAATAGTATAAATGATTGTTGCTTTGAAATTTAATATGTGCAGTCATGTAATCTGCGATTTGGTCTTTTGAAAATTTGTATTCGGAGAAAAGAGAGTGTTGTGTTATGGAGCTATGTAAAATTATGACTTTTAGCATGCTTGACTACCGTAAATTTCATACTAAGGAGAGCTGAGAATTTGCTGTAACCGGTCTACCATTAAAATACAAATTGAGCAATGAGCAGCATGTCAGCGAAATGATGCATAACGAAATCTCAGCGAAATGCCCTCTTTTTTGAGGTTGAGCTAAAAATGAGCATTTGTCGTGTCCGTGTACAGGAAATTTAGATCCAAGCTAGATTTAGACTATGCAAGAATATCTTTATAAAATTTTGGCTTCTTAGTTAGTCCGGTATTCGAAATCGTTACCTAGCCGCAAAATATTTTCGACGTCGTAAAGCATGGCACATGAATTCCAAAACTTCATTTGTATGTACTGGTCCTCAAATAAATGACAAATATTTATCAAAATTACACCGTCGTTTTCCGTCCAGTCCTTGTTCTGGCACTGCACCAACTACGAGTCTTCACGTGGTCGTACCTGTATTGTAAGTGTCGTGATAACTGCGTTACAAATCTCTAGCTTAAAACGTTTGAAGAACATCCTTGCAGTGTTTCAGCTGTCTTCCTTGTCTGTTTCCTGAAATCGTTCTCCGCCAAAAAATTTGCATTTTTTCCTTTAGGTCTTCGTGCGCGAGGCTCCAGCTCATTGAACGCAGATTTTAATAGGAGGGCGGCATGTACTGTGGGAATATGCCTCCAAGATTGAGCTACCTAGCTTTTTCGGCTATTGGATTAAAAGTACTTGCCTTCGAACACACACACGCACACACATGGATAATATGCGTTTTTAAATTTGCATAAAATGCAAAAAAATAAAAAGTCGTCAGCGGGCAGTGACGCAATAGATGGGCAGTTACAAATAATTCGTTTATTTGTAACTGTTTTATAAATAATTCATTTCAGTTGTAGCAAATTGGTATAGGCAAACGATAGGGGCTGGATATGTCACTAGCTTACTTCTAATCAACTTTTGAAAGAGAGAGCCATCGACAACCTTAGCCACTGTTGTCATTTGCTTCCAGTCGGTTTAACTTCTAAGTACTTCCGCCTCCCACAGAGAGCGAATACGACAAAAAGATAAATTTTTTCGCTCTAAAAGAAATAGCAAAGCTACAAATCGAACAAAATTTGAAATTTTTGCTGCTAAATGTGTAATTTTAGTGGAATGGCAACAGGATTGGAATGCGCAGCTGCCGTCGGGAGCAATGGGAATGCATAAAGGATGGGTAGGCTTTGGTACTGGACAAGATGGTGGAAAATACGTGGAAAACGGATGGCAAAATTCATGGAACTCTGGGACCAGTGGTGGCGATTATGGACGGAGTGTAAAACAGTCGTGGAGTGACCAGCCAAGCGGAACAGCAATGGACAAATGGTCCTGGGGGAACGGAGGTGCACAAGGTTGGGGATCCTGGGGAAGCGACTATGGAAGAAACGGTGGGTTTAGCACTAACAGTGATGGCGATGATGCTTGGAAAAAGTGGGGCTCAAATTCTGGTTCGGGAGCTCACAACAAAAAGCACGGTTACGTCTCCTGGGGCAATGTTAATTCCGACAACTGGCACAACAACGGCGGCGGAGAAGGCTGGAGCAAATGGGAAGGTAGACTTTTTGTGACTTTAGTAGACACCAAAAATACCCAGAAAGCTTGGACGATCAGTCTAAGTATCCCGTATTGGTAATATTGGTGAGGACTTTACCACATGATAGGGACAGCTGTGTCAAGCCCATCGGTCTTGGGCTACATATTTACAGTTATTACCCATTGCCTATTCGATGGATGAGTTCTACTTCTCAAGGCGGAAAGGGACCCAGTAGATGGCATCAGAAATGCTCTTTAGTATAGCCGGCATCACAAAGACGGTTTCTAAGTCGAAATTTGCCTTCTCTTTGATTGTACCGACTCATACGACTAGCTGTTTTCCATTCATCAGTGCGGAAATATTCATACCTGCTCATCCCCGTTGCTGAATTGATTCAGCTAAATCTGCTGGTCCAGAACGTTTAATGTAGCCCTGAATTGGTGCTGGAATGAGTCAAGCTATGAGCCAAAATCTGGACTTGCTTCGTTTGACGTGGCTCGAATAAGACAAAATGCAGTTAGCTGTTGTGATTCAGTTATCGGAAAAATAATTATTTTGGGACTTCCCCTTAGAATTGTATCTTTACCTGGGAATGATTTTCAGTCTGTCAAACCTCTAAATTCTTCGCGTTTTCATGTTACTTTTAACCAAAAAATTAAATTATTCAGGAAAGTTAAAATATCATTCTACACTATTTAGGTGATGACCAGGGACAACAGGGCAGGAATGGTTATGAAAAGGGCGGATGGAAAAGTTGGAAGAGCGGTTCAGGTGGTGGCAACTGGGATAGCTGGAAATCAAGCAAGCCATTCTCGGCTCAAGCAGAAGCCCGTGCGTCCATATCATCTGATCCTTAACGCTTATCCAAAGCATAAAATATAGTTCTTGGCCTACAGTATTGTATTGCAGTTTTGTGTATACATATCCTTGTATTTTAGTGAAATAAATGATTAATTTTTTAATGTTGTATTCGTGGACTAAATGACTTGGATTTAAAGTTAACATAGCTGGAACCAAGACCGCTCAAACAATCGGTATGGGTATCTTATGCAGAGGTTGTTACTGAGATTTTCCTACGTGCCAGGCGCAGTAAGGATCGTTTGCTCTCTCGTAGGTATCACTCACCAGTTGACAACATTCATCAGCTGACATCAAGGCGAATAAAATACCTGCCCTATTACACCAGTATACTCTCTTATATTTATAAATTGCTCACGAAGATTATCACTAACTGAGCCCTGCTGATCTTATACAGAAAGTCATACCCATTCTTCTCTTTCACTTTTTGCAAGAGATGAACGCACTCAAAAGAAAATGGATTTTATCGGTTCTTAAAAAAAGCTTCAAACCTATCATACTAATCGCTATTTTACTAATATTGTCCATACGCTGACAAGTTTCCAATTGTTTCCTTCTAGAGGACTGCTTGAAAATCAAGCTGAACAATCTTCCATTGCCTGAGCTAAGGGGTACTCTACTGTTAATTCAATCTAACCCTAGAAAGACTGAATTCTGACAGTTTCTAAGAGAGCATATCAAGAATTTTCCAGATGCCACTGCCACTGAACCAACCAACCAACCTTTATTAACTGCAATTCACAAAATTCTCCAGTAATGCATCTAGCAACTTTTTCAGCTGATATGATCAATATCAAGTCGTCTGGCGGTCAGCATCCTGGTCCAGCGACCTTCGCGTTCTTTTTCGCTTCATGAAGGAATTACCGAGCTCGACGGCTCTAGCTGTCAGCAGTGCGGACTGGTAGCATTTGGTCTGAACCATAACAATAAAGCTTTTGCAGTACGCGAAACAAAATACATATTCACTGCTGGATGAGAGTGCTCACTAACCAGCCTCAACAATCCCGTCACTGGTAGCAAAACCTTTCTTTCAACAATTCATCTATTTGCTTCATGATGAAGTGGCCTTGGTACGTACCAGTGGTACGTGCTGCTGAACTAGTTTTCCTCTAGTAATCAAGAGGAATAATCACCGGATTTTTACAACTGCAGCTAATGTCGATGAGGAAATGCTGTGACCGAAACAACAAGTTAGCCTTTCTGCTAGTTCTCTCGCAAAATTGAACGCAAAAGAAAAAGGACACTAGAGAGAGGAAAAAGAGGAAAGTGGCGAGTTAGCTTTTGAGTTTCATTACATTCTAATTGTAAGAAAATATTTTCTATGAGAAATATAACTAGTTTATCATCATTACTGCGCAAAAATCATCTCACATCATCATATTCCACACGATACAAACATACACATACGCTTGTTCTGGAGCATCAGCATAAACTAAAAAAGTTAACTAAACTGCCAGAAACCGGACACTCTGGTTCATATATAAACTGCAGAGATTGAATTCTCATTAGGCTCCACTTCAGCCGTTTATCCTCAATGCGTAATATTCGACCAATTATGTCCCGGGCTGTTATTATCAGTGTTACATCTATATTGTGCTCCTTCATTTTTGATGCCAGTAAGTCTTTCAACACTAAATAAATTTTGATTTAAATTATAAAGTGACGCAAAAATTAGTAATTTAGTTTCGAAAAGTCTTAGGTTTAACCGCACTGCCCTAATTTTAAATGAGTTTTAGTAGATCTGAGCTAAAAATTTGTCCAAAAATTAATAATTTAATCGCGACGGGGACCTCGATTTAATTATGATATTACAGTATCAAGAAATTTATTAGTCCCTTTCATAAATTTATACCCGTTTATTTTACACCACCTCTTATACAAACAATACCAGAGCCATCCTTTGGCAGTGCTTAATTGTAGTGCAGAATAAGAA